CTTCCATATTAAATTGAATGTTCACTTTACATTTTTTTAGTCAAATTAATTAATTACTTTTGATCATAATTTTTTGTAATTTGATCAAAAAAATTGACAGCAAACATTTAATTTGAAATAGAAGGTGTATTTTTCAATTCTTTAATAATGATTAAAAGAAAATATATTTGTCTTAATATCTTTTTTAGCTTAACTATTTGTTCCATTTGACGTGATCATAATTTCTTTTTTAAATTCAAAAAAAAAATTTTGATAATAATTTGATTAATTGAAAGAAAAGGAGGTATGAAAAAACAAAAGCCAAAAAAAAAAAAAACCCAATGAACTTTATTTTGCAAATAATGAAAATGAAACAAGTTTTCAGGCATTAACACCCATAGAAACAATTGTCATTTAAATACTTCTTATTGAGATGAATACAACTGATTCCTTCTCACATTTTGATTTCCCATTCATGGGGAAAGATTTAAATGTATCTACATATAATTACCATTAAGAAAGCACAATACATGTTAAATTGAGTCAATAATAATATTTAACTTAAGCCAATGTATGTATAATTGGAAAATATAATAACGTCAAAGTCTCAACACTGTGTATTCACTTATTTCTTTGCTAATTTTGGTACATTTTCCATACTGTAATTTATTAAATTATTGAAGGAAGGACCTCAATTTTAGTCCTTCTGACATATGGAACCATATGCTTTCACGCACCATACGAACGGAGACCAATGCCGTTGAGACACTTATGTTTCTGCAACCTGGCGGACAAACCTTGGCGCAGTCCGGATCACTGCTGCACTTGGATTCCAATATTGGTACGACAGAGAATTGTGTTTCGACCTGACCTGATCAGCTTGATCCTACTCTTTTCGGCTGCAAGCAATAACAAACACAGATCTTGAAATTACACAGTAATCTTCCTTTGGGCATTTCAGTTCACAGTTGATGTCTCGAGTTGAATCTTCTTCATTTTCCATCACTCTCTTTACTTCAGAAGATATGGCAAAGACTTGTTTGGATTCTCCAAGTAAAAAGAGTGATGGAAAATAAAGAAGATTCAACTCTTATCAATATTGCAGATAATGAGCCTCAAACAAATGTATTTATGGAGTTCAGGAAGGAATTTTAGGCTTGTAGTTTGGTATGGTAATCTTGAATTGAATTTTGTACTATTATGAGAGTATAAGATGAATTTATAAATGAATTTTAGGCACGGGATTTGGTAATAATTTTCATCCTAGAAAAATGCCCTAACAAATTCAATTACAGCCACCTGTGGCACAAATGTGAATAGCCACATGGCATGTGGCCAAAAGAGAGAAAGACTTTTTTTTTTTTTTGGTTTAATGAAAGCAAATTGAATATTTGTGTTAATGTAATGGCTTGCGTACGTAATCCTGTTTGAAGTCTTTAGCCTTGAATACGGGCAGAAGACTTATGCCTGTCAAATCCATATTCCATACAAAGTAACAATTATACCTCCCAATTGCAAAGTGTACATCTCTTCCCACTACGGGAGCACCTGCTGGGTACCTTTATTATTACAGCCAAATAAGAGAAAGCATTGCCTGAAACAAGAAGACAACTCAACGATGAGCAAAGAATACATTGGGTGAAATGGCAAAAATTGACATAAGAAAGATGCTTCGGGTCCTGAAAGCTAAGAGATGAATTGGAACTAGGTTGTTTTTGTTCGGTTTGCTAGATCTGATTTAATCTGGTTGCTTTGGGATGACCCTTGTCCGTTGATGTCTTATTGTTCTTGTTTGTCTGAGTTTGCAGGGTGATTCTAGTAGCAACCAGATTAGGTGCTTTCCTTGTTTATTTACGGAACATGTCATGACAGGGAGTTTTGAATTTTGCTGATGTTGTTCCCACTGCTACCAAGAGTGAGTAGCATTTTGTTAAACTCTCTTTATTATTGAATCCAATTCTAATGCCTTTCCCAAAAAAAATAAAAAATGCTGGGGGTATGGGGTTTCGTGATTTGCAAATGATGAATAAAGCTTTGTTAGCAAAGCAATGTCGGAGGATGATGGTGAACCCGAATGCTTATTGGGTACAACTTTTAAAACGTATATATTTTGCAAAGGATTCTGTTTTCAATGCTAGAAAAGAGGCAAGGGCATCATGGGGCAGGTTATGGGGGGAATGATACTGACATATGGCGAGACAGATGGGTTCCTAACTACGACCTTATTGGCTTGGATGAGAGTGATGAGGGTAGTAGTATGCCTAAAATGGTTTCAGATTTGATAAATAAAGAACAGGGTAGCTGGCAGTTGGCTTTTATTCAAGGAAAATTGTGTACTGAGGTGCTGGAAGCTAATGGAAGAATGCTAATATGCTATGGCCTATGGGGAGGGATAGAGTGGTGTGGCCTTTACCAACAAATGGTAAAAACCGAAAGCCGGTTGGGTAAAAGTCAATACTGATGGGGCATACAAAAATGATATTAAACTTGCTGCTGTTGGAATTGTGATTAGAAATGATGTAGCGGTAGGAGGTGGAGGGAAGCTTGTAAGTGCGAATTCAAGCCTGGAAACAGAAGCGATGGCTGTCAAAGAAGGGATTCAATTAGCTAGGGAGCAGAAATTTATGAACGTTGTGGTTGAAATGGATTCGGAAATTCTTTACAAGAATATTAAGGCATAAAATAAAATATTGGATTGGAGGATTGCGCCTCATGTGCAAGATAAAACAGTGTGTTTTAAATATTTTAGAAAAATTGAGTTTAGACAGGGCATCAACTCAGTTGAACAAGGGGATGTGATCAGAAAATTGGATTGAATTTATTCCATCCTCCTTAGAACACATTCTTAACAAGGATGGCCCTTTCAGCTCCAGTGTATTTTGTATGGATAGGTGCATATAGGGTTGGTTCCATCTCATTGACAGGCCCATCCAATCCACAGAAAATCCATTTCACACACCACAAATCTGAATCACTGAAGTTCTTGATCTTTGCCCTTTCTTCAATTGCATCATCAAGCTATTGGATAGAAATTTATTTTCCCCTAGGCCCAGTTGTGAGCCTTATTCATCTAAACATAACAAAACATGGCTGCTACTGGGTTAATCAGTAGTTAAAGAGTAGCAGATGCATGTCTGGTTCTAGTAAATTGCTAAAAGTCTATAAAATATAATGAGCTGAAGCAATGGAAAGAAATCCTGTCAATTATTTTGCATTCCCAAAAACATCAGTGTATTTGAGACAAAATTATTTCAATTAACAGCAGAAGTTGTTTCCACTGTGACAGTAAGGACTAGTGGTTGTTGCCCAAATGGACATTAGCAACTATGATGGAGATAGCGAAGTGAAAAATCGTTGTGGATAAAAGAATGATAATTCTTGTTTACATAAAAGTTGGAAAACAAATATTCTACAACCACACTAGATTTGATTTCTCTTCAAGAAGCATGAACAATTACTATTATACACTGAAAGCAAAGGAGGCACTGTCCATGGCTAACAGAAAACAAGCCCTTGAACAATTGAAGGGGAACAAAGAAACCGCCTCAAACTGCTAGGGTAGGATGTTGGTTTTGAAACCTGATCATTTGACAGTAAAGTGATTCTTGTTCTGCTACTCCCCCAAAGAATCAGAGCCTAGAGTTAGCACTTCATCATGGGAGATTAATGCAGCCAGTTGGCAATATCTTTGCTGTCAAATACTGAGAAAAGTCCCATTTGCTTCTATTATTTCTTCATACCAAAACAGAGGCCCGCAAAGACGAGTCTCTAAGCCTTTTGGCAGAAACAAACAATGGAGCAAATGGGTTAAAAGCAGCATTTGGGATACATGGTTTAAACATGATCTCCCCTACACACTGCCCAAATGAGTAAACCAATAGCTGAAGCCATCGAAGCTATGGAATAACATCCACAAAGCCTTGCAATTCGAGGGCTGTTGGGGGTCATCAATGCACAAAATGCACCTGAGAAAGCAAAGATGATGCATATTGTGAATGCATGAAAGGTTGCCGGGTGGCCTTTAAAGACAATGATTGGTACTGGGTTTCCTTTGACATACTCGTGAGGAAGTAGAATAAGGATGGTGGCAACTGTAAAGGAGATAAACAGGATGGATTCCAAGATTGTCGTTTGAACTGCAATGCTTGACAGCATCTCACTAAAACTGACATGGTGAGGGTAAAATGTATAACCCGTTGATACCATCTCCTTTTCTATTCATATCATTGAGGGAGAACCAAAGAAATGGCAATCGAGAAAAATTAGAACACGATCGCAAAGAAAGTATGCATCCGTGATGCAATTTATATCAACTTAAGCTAGAAGATCCAAGGAAATGAGGCTATAGACTACTAGGAAATTTGTCAAATTGAAAGAGAAGCAAATTATATAAAGCTAATATTCTTTTATCTCTTAAAGCAGTATTAAGAAAGAAGATTGGTCTATATCTTTTAAGAACCTTCCGGGAAATGAGAGCTTAATTATGGCCTGAGAAAACAACAGTAAAAGGGGAAAAAACCATAGGAATTGAACCAAAAGATAAAGAATAAAGAAGAGGAATTAACAAGTCTTTGCTCTTTTTGACCCACCAAAACTGTTTCCTTCTTGATAATTGAGATGACCCAAGATTGATTTGGAAAATCATGTGCCTTGCAAATTAGAAAATAATGAGTAGAAACAAAGAATGGTACCTGATGAGAATTATAAGTTGAAACTCCAATAAAAGTAATGTGCATTAAAGCAAAAGTAAAAGAAATAAAGAAAAAGAGAAAGCAATTGGTATGTTTCCAATCTTTTGACTCAACTGCTCCTAATTGGACCATTCATCAATCAGCTAATAGAACCCTATCAAAGCTATGGCTTAACTTTAACTTGACTAAAGAATGTCTCCCTCCTTTTCTTTTATTTTCTTTTCTCTTTTTCTTGGCATAATTATTCATTATTTTCCACTGATTTTAGAAGCAGCTTCCTCACATCTAGGAAAATATCAAAAACCAGTAAACCATTCTCAATACATTATATATGAGAAACAAAGACAAATTTTTAAAACCGCAAGAGAGCACTAAGAATTGATACTGGTGTTCTCTTTTGCTTTCCTTGTATAAGCCCAAAAAAAAGTGTTCTCTCCTGTTGTCATTATGCCTTCTTATTCAAACTTAAGCTCGCCAACTGGTCCACCTTTTTCCTTATTATCCACAATCAAAGAGGTATTTCATCGTGTTGTTAGAATCCTATCCCAGTTTAGGCCTTGTTCTGTGGCTAATTCTCTTATTTTACCAATTACTAGATCGTCATCTCTACCAACTTCTAGTGCCATTACCAGAATGAGGTTTTACACTGCTTCTTATCAGTGGAGATGCCAAGCATTGGATTGCATACCACTTTACATAAATTATTCAGAAATTGAAATGCACAGCTATCAACCGAGGCCTCCAGTAAGTCTTGGTAAGACCATTTTGAGTTTATCATTCCAGATAGTTGTTGCCTTGGCTCCGTCATCTTCTATGGGGCAAGCTCATCATCTGCTCCCCATTGACTTCGTCAAAATTTCTATGATCATGGCCTTCGCAGCTTCTTTCAGTGGGATTTTCCTGCGCAGTTCCTACCCAAAAATGGCCAATATTATTGAGAATATAGGATCTCTTATTGCTGCAGTTGGTTTTTTCATAATGACTAGCATTTTCCTCCCTGGTAATTTTTCCTGGGTTAATTGGCTAGCTTGCGCATTTTCCTTGCTCGCCTTTTTCTCCTCGCTGGGTAAGTCTTAACTGATCCCATGCGGCTTCTAAATACAATTCCCCATCTGATATAATCCCTTAATTTATATGATAGCTCATCCTACATCAAATGTGAAAGTCATTCTTAATGTTTATATAAGGGTCTAAATCAATAACCACTACCGGCTTAAGCTTAAACTTTTGAGAATAATGTGATTTAGTTTTGAAAAGTTGTTGGATCTATGGTGGTTGGATCTGGATTATTAAAATTAATAATGAATAGGAATGAAAAGTTATTGTAGTGAAAGTGATGTTAATTAAAAGAATAAGCCTGATATTAAGTTATTATAGTGAAGTGATGTTAAGTTTATATGAAAGTGATCTTATGGTGAAAGTTAGGTTAAGTTTAATGAAAGTGATCTTATGGTGAAAATGATGTTTATGGTGAATAGGTCTGATGTTAAGTTTGCGCAAAAGTGACTTTTATGGTGAAAATGATATTTGTAGTGAATAAATCCGATATTAAGTTATTACGGTGAAAGTGATGTTGAGGTTTGAAAAGTTATTATAATGAAAGTGATGTTAAGTTTACGTGAAAGTAATGTTTAACAGTAAAATTATGATGAAAGTGATGTCAAGTTTAGGTGTGAAAAATTGTTGGGTCAGGTTTAATGATTAGCAATGTTAATGACAACTCCGCCTGTGTCATATTGAGAGTCTTACAATCCTTTGCCACAGCCGGTCCCAAGCCCGGATAAAGGAGGAGGGTCATGCTTAGGTACAAAGCCTTGAGAAGAAGAATTCATCAACCAAGTAGTTGCAAGAAACCTGTTCAGTTGAAGTGGTATTTGCTGCAACATATTTGAGCATCGGTTTCTACATTGTGAAGCATCAGAAACTCTGAGATGCATCAAACTGGAAAGTTGAGAACCTGCTGAAATTAGCAAGTAGTTATGAATTGTCCCATGATGGAGGAAAGGCCATTCAGTTTTTACTCAAAAGTGTTCATCAAACGATCTGGATGTTGCCAATTGCCAGGCATTGGTTCAGTACCTGAACCAATTTGAGGACTTAATCTGACCAAATTGGAAGATGTATGGACCAGGTACTTCATCATTTATTGGTCAAAAATAGATCAGAAAATTTGTCCAAATTCAATGTAATTTATTTTCTTTCTCTTTTTCTTTTTTAATTTCGAGTACCTCTGTAAATACACAGTTGAGAAATGTTGAATGAGTCAACCAATTTGGTCCGAAACTTAGGCCAACAAAAGCCATTGTAAGTAGTCAGAGTTTGCCTAATTTATACTAAAACTTGTGCAACTATAATTAACCAAAGAAGGTTGACCAATGATTTTGTTGCGTTTGAATTCTTTTCATTCCTAAATATCTTGTCTAAATTCAGTTTTAGTTTTCAGTAATATTCCCTTTACAACAATTCTATAATTGTATTACTTCAATTAATTCATGAATGAAAATTAAATCAATAAATTATTGTCGCATCAAGTGAGACAAACATATAAAAATAAAAACAAACATGTATTAACAAATAATAAAAAATAGAATCGTGACATTTTGTGAGAGTTGAAAGAAAAAATAAATAAAAAAAATAGAGACAGAGAATTAAGAATGGTCATCGTACTGCCATGTAAGTATGATAAATAATTCAAACCAAAATCTCTACCTAATAAATGGGCAAGGATATCAGTCCTCTGGCTAGTGTATGACTTAAATGCAATCAGGTTATACCAAAATTAGAGGGCTGAAAATTCTTGTATAAAAACCCAGAATCCTATCCAATTTATAAGGTAGAAATTTTCTTTATAGTTTTGAAAAAATTATTTTTCCAAATTTAAATCAATAAAGATTTATAAATAAAAAGTAGTGGAAATTTTGAGATGTTCCCAAATTAAATCTTTTATTTTTTTTAGATACCTAATACTCTTGCTTTTTCTATATTATAGATTTTTTATGATATTTTTATTAAGAAGTATTAAATATCTATAACTATAATAAATTTAATTTATCAAAAAATAAATTTATTATTTTAATTTTATAAAAATTAAAGAAAAATAAATATTTAAAGACTTCTTGGTATATAATGTGAATGCTAGTCCATAGTCATTAATCAATTCATGAGTCAACTTCATTCTTTTCCCAATGGCATCTGGGTAAGTAAGGAAAAAAAGAGGGATATCAACGTTTCGAAGAGGAGCGGGATGTCCAAAGTATAAATGATCAATAACATTTATTAAACTTTTTTTTTTTTTGAGTTTTACACTCAATTTATGTAAAAATTAACCTCTCCTCTTTAATAATTTAAGTTAAACAATAGTTTTCCTCTTTTTACTTAGGTAAACAATAGTTTGACAACAGAATTACTTGCTTCTCCTCTCAATTGTAAAGTCAAAATTTTTCAAGAACATTCTTAATTTTATTTGATTTTAATTCTTGATAATTTAAATTATTTGAAATATCAATATTCATTGCATCAAATTTTGTATAACTTACTACTCCAATATTAAGGTTCTCAACTTAAAATTGGGTAAAAATTAACATGAAATGTAAATGTTAACCATGCCATGGCACCATAAACATGAAATCATCGTACTCGGCTTAAATAATTAAACTTTTTCATGTTACAAATTTTCTTTAATTTTTGCTTCCTTAGTTTAACCAAGGTAAGAACTCTTCAAAGAAGGTGAGGAAGGATTGGTTAAAAATAGAAAAAAGGTAGGTAGAGAGTTGATTGAAAAGGAAGGGAATAAAGAAGGAAAAGAAGCATATAGGACATAAGAGACGCTGTGGAGCCTACGAATGTGGACATTCACTAGCAAAAGAATGAGAAGAAATCAAGCTATTGATATTGGACTGGCTAGCCATGATAAGGTTATAGCTTATAAATTTGCCTTTGCGGTGGAACCACGGACCAAAGTTTGGTTGGCATTTTGGAAGTGATGGATCCATTAATGCACACTTCAAACTCACTCAAGAGTGCTGGTGAGAATGATTTGTCAAATCTTAACAAAAGCAAACAAAAAATTAAAGCAACCCAAAGCAGAATAAAAGAACCAATTTATTTAGATATGGAGAAATCTAATTCTACAATAGGAATTACGGCCGAAAGCAATCCAACAGTGAAAAAGAAGAACATTCCCGATCACGTCCTTAAATTTCCCATACATAAGCGCCAAGTGATCACTAGTTTATCAATTCGGAAGAGGCCATTGGCAACGGCGGAGTGTGACTATGAGTATCACCTCCACCGCATATGCACTTGCAATCAACGCAGCGGTTGGGAAACCCTTGGCAGACTTTGTTGCAGTCTACCATGCGCGGACAGCAAAAGGGTCCTCTTGCTTCAGCTCCAGGCAACCTCCGCAATGGCGATCCTGCCAAACCAACAATCGTTTCCATATGGTGAAAAAGGAAAATAGGAAAGAGAACCAAAAGCAAAGGAAAAAGAGAGAGAGAGAGGAGAGAAATTAACCAGATGCCATAACCAGGAGCATACAGATAACCGACTTGGCCCAAGTTCCTTCCATTACAACGGCTATGGTATTTTTGGTCTTTGCACTGTTAGGGTGACGATGGGATTTCATTAGGCAATATTTATAGAGCTTGAGAGAGCTGTAAAAGTCTTTATTTCAATGTATCCACCTGATCGTCTCCGTATCTAAAGGTGAACAAAAGTCAATTAAAACTAATATATTTTAATATATTATATATTGTTATGTACTATATATATAGTATCCTAATTACTCCATCACATATATTACTTACTAATTTATTAATATAGTCAACAACATATTTTATTACTATAGTGTATATTAACAATATATTATATTAGTATAATAGTATAATATATATATTAATAATATATAGTTAAATAAAGGAGGAAAGCATGGTTGCAAAAAGGCCAATGAAAAATATATTTGTCTTCCATTTTTTTAAAAAAAATAATAATTTTAATAATTTTAATATCTCATATGTCATTTCAAATCTCTTATTTATTGTAATAGACTTTTCACAAAACATTGACCTAATCTTGATAATAAAAATTTGTACACTTATAAAAGAAACTGCACAAGAAATCATGACCGTGAAGATCATGAAAACCAAACTCTTAAACCTGAAACGCAAGAAAAGCTAAATAGCTGCTTGCTCCTGAGCGAAAGGATGAGCTAGCAGTGTTACAAAACAAACAATTTGTCCAGACAAAAGTGAGGCACAGCCCAGGTAAAGACCAAGCACACAAATCCTTGGGAAGAGACAAAGAGAGTGCAAAAAACCGAAAGCCCACTACCCAAAGAAATTACAAGATATTAAAGAAAATTATGACAATGAAATATGAAAGAGGAATCAGTGTTCTACACTGCATGGCTTTCGCCTTTCATATTTTCATTCAATATTTTCTTCTTGCGTGAAATTAAATATTTATTTTATTTTATTAATGTTTTTGATTTTGCATTTTAAAATTTAAATTTCTAATTGAAAATATATTAATAACCCAACCATTCAAATATGATGGTGAAAAAGGATAAAACTCAAATCACATATATCAACTCTTGGTGCAAATAGGGTTTAGATGGAATTCAATGAATGGTAAAATTGATTTTAAGACAGCCTTTCAATAGATTTATTTCGCCTCCACTTGATATGCAAAGAGGAATAATGCAAATAGCCTTAAGAATGCAATGAAGCTAATATCTAACTTCGTCAGTAGATCGTTAGATACACTTGAAGGTTTACAAAATTGTTTGGTCTTAAAACCTATTTTCTGCAGCAAGTAGATTATAAGGATTTTGGAAGCTTTTGTAGTTGATGGGAACTTAAATGTTTATTTTATTAGAACACAACACTCTTGCTCTTGATATTTCTACTCTCATTTTCATGTTTGCTTTTATGTATCAAAATAGTTGGTAACAAGCTATTTGTATAGGCTTGTAAGTATCTCTTCTTCAAGGACACAACCTTTCAAGCACCATTTTATCTAAATGGTATATTTTCATTTGGTTAAACATAGCTTTTAGATAAAGTTATTATTTCAATAATTATCTTATGAAAAGACAAGTATTCACTTCACAAATTATAGCCTATGAGTTATAATTTGAAACAATAATTTTTCATATTTAACTTTTGAACTATGACGTCTTTTTAATATGTCTCATAACTTTTAGATGTCATTTCACTAAGAGACATAACCATTCACATGAAAATTTATCTATAATCCAATAGACTCATTATGTCACTTTATGTGACATAACCTTTGAGATAAGATAACTTTTAATCATGTGATATAACTTTTGATTTTGAAAATACACCAACATTAATAACTCATCTTCCATGTACTTTGTAGGTTAATTTCATACTGAAATCTAATAAAAAAATTTATGATTAATTTCATACTGAAATCTAATAAAAAAAATTTATGATTTAAAGAAATTAAAAAGAATTAATTTCTTTTCCAAAATAAGGTTACATTAACCCTGAAACAAATACAATGCTAATAAATTCTGCTTTTCAAAAATTGCTAATAATTGGCATATAAGTGTGATATGAAATTTAAATCAAAATCTGTACCTAATAAATTGGCTAGGATTTTTTTTGCTACATAATTGGCAAGCTATCTAGTGTATTAATTAAATGCAATTTTAGAGGGCTAGAAATTCTTCTATAAAACCCCCAATTGGCACACTTTGTATATCATCCGCTCACCCTCAGCCATAATACAAGATACAGATAATTGATTTTAATTAATCATTTCAGTCTCTCATCGGAAAAATGAGGAAGGCTTCTTTTGGCGTAGCATCTCTTCTTGTCATCATCATGACTGTAGCTTCTTGTTAGTTTAAACATATCTTTGATCTGTCTTTCATTATCTCACATCATTATATTCCAGCATTTAACAAATTGGTTGAAACGAAATATTGATGGTGAAAAATGATTGTTTAATATGATGTGCAGGTGTATCAAACTCAGCAGCACAATTTGAGGCCGACGGGAAATGTTCCCGTGACATAGAGTGTGTATTCGAATGCAAACATGGTGGCTTTTGTGACTTAAAAACGGGACGCTGCAGTTGCTTGCCCGCCCAAGAGCAAGCGGCCGCTGCCGCCAAGAACGTCGTATCCATCGTGGATGCCAATTGCCGCCGAGACCCAGACTGCGCCAAGGTCTGTCCACGAGGTTGCAAAATCACCAACTGTCTAAATGGCACTTGTTTCTGTGAGTGTTAGTGCCTGGAAAATTGTTTCATTCTCAGAGCACCAAAAATAAGGTTCATGGATCCTTTTATATATTGTAAAAGAAATAAAAGTGAATAACAAAAGAACTTTGAGTTCCATTCCATATCATCATTTTAAATTTTTCGATTATTCAGTTACAGTTACACAGAGTTACAGAGAATGAAATCTATTTTCAATTATATTTCGTGTAATTATTAATAATTACATAATTCGATCCATAATCATAAATCAATTTTTTTATGTAATAATTAAGGTAAAACTTGAAAATTTTATTTTATTCATATATATATATATATGTAATTTTTCATAAATCCCAAAACTAGTAAATAATAAAAGCAATGAACAACAGTGCAGATCAGCCTTATCATTGAATAGTTAATCTCTAAATTTTATTTTTGAGTAAAATACATTGACATCTCCAGCTTTTGATAATAATTACACACACATTCATTAATATTCAAAATGAATAATACACCTCAAACATTTACATTGTATTAATACCTAAACGTGAAATTTCTATAATATCTTTCATTTTTTTCCACTTTTTTTTTTCTCTCAAGTCGATCAGTAATGCTTCTTTCCACCAGCAGACCACCCCATGACTGGATCTAGTCTTGGAATGCTAGATTTGCCAAATCTCCCCAAGGGAGAACTAGATTGTGCTTCCTAAGGGAGCCGATCGGTGATCATTCTCCTCAAGAGCGCACTAGATCGGTGCTCTCCAAGGGAGAGCCAATCACTAATCGGTGCGAGGTGGCCAACCAGCAAGATAGCTAGAGAGTTTTTTTTTAAATAAAAGAGAAAAAATAAAAATAAAAAATTATAATTTATATAGTAGTAGTTTTTAAAATGAATGAAGATTAAAATTATCTTAAAAATATTACCACATCATCGAATTAATGAAAATATTAACAGTTAATTAACGACAAGACTTATACGTCTAGTAAAAAATAATTTTTAAAATTTGATTTTATTTAATTTAAATATTAATAGACCTACATCTAATTATGGTAAAAAATTAAAGTATCAGTCTATTTTACGTTTTGCTTTTGTTAATAACTTTCATATATTTTTTTAAACTTCAATTACAAATAAGATTTCCCTGTCAAGCAACTACCTCCCTTACCTTTATAATTACCACTGAGATTTTCTGTTCTGGTTCTGATGGTTCAAAAGAAAACTTTTCCTCTCAAAATCTCTCTCTGATGACTTCCTCTACTTACCATTGCAGTGACCTGCAACACATTGTTTGTCAACCTCTGGTTGAACCACAACTCTTTTACCCCTCTCCCCGTTCCGTCCTAAGTGAATTAACCATCACCATTCAACCCCAATTGAGGCGCCATTATTGCTTGACCGACCAGTTCATCGATCTTGACGGCAAGGCCTCTTTATTCTCCCAAGAAACCATTGTTTTTATCTTCATGCTTTGAAAAACTATGATCGGATTTACCGAATCCTTCGTCTCATTCTTGTAAGGCTCAGAGTCAACCCCAGCGCTCCTCCGTTCCATGCGATCATTGATGAAATCATCCGATGAGGGACTTAGCATCAGAACCTGGGAATCCAACAAGGGACGTAAAGCCTTGCCTTTGCATGCAGAGCTATGGAGAACGTATGTGGAACACCTAAACTAAGAAGGAGAATACGAGGAAGATGAGGTTTCGATCGAAAGGGTTCTGGAAGAATCGGTATCGGAGTTTGAAACAAGCAACTATAACATGGTTCCAACGAAGGAGTCGTCAATCAAGAAGATGGTGAAGAGGGTTCGAGCCGAAGGTCGAGAGTGTGATCAAAATGGAGAAAATATTAAAAGAAGGCGTGTGTGATATGTTTGGAGGAACTTAAGGTTGGATCAGATGCTTGTCGGATGCCATGTTCTCATATTTTTCATGATGACTGCAATGGGAAGTGGTTGAAGCAGAGCCAACATTGTCCTGTCTGTCGGTTTGAGACGTCGACAGAGTGAAGAGCTTTTCCTTTTGGTTTTTCTTGCTTCTAGTCAAAGAGATAAACCTCTTCCAAGTTTGAACAACTTGTAAATTGCTTTTGAATAGATTTCTCTTTTCATTGGGTGTACTTAATTTTGTTGTTATGTTTCAATAATTGTTTATGGCTTAATGAACTTAAGCTGTTTGTACATGGTGGAAGTCTGCGGTACATGGAAAGAAATATATTAACTGTTCTAACTATTTTTGGTCTGTTGTTAAATATATTTCTTTTGATTCTGTGATCCATTAATAAAATTCTGATGAACATTGTGGTCTGTTATTTCATATTAAATCAAATAGAAGATTGAATCTTATGAACAAGTAATAAACGTATTCAATATAAATCAGTTAGTAAGGGAACTCCAGGGTTCACCATGCTTGTATAATGACGTATTTGACACTTTGATGGCCTTTGGCTGGAATGATATGATTGGAAGTGAGTGAGCTTTAAAACCAGTGAGTTCTCTGCTAAGAACTGAACCTGGTCAACTTCGGAGCAAAAGTGAATGACAAAATAAAAGTACAAAAGCAAGAAGTCTTGTCTAATCACCGAACTGAGAAGGCATTAATGTACAAAGCACCTTGTACACTTTTCTTTTTTGTGCTGGAAACTTACTCTGTTAGAAATTTTTACTAGTGGAAGTAAATTGTTTATCAATGTCAGGTGCTCCGTGGGCAATCTGAGAGTGAAAACTTTTCCAAGCTAGTTTTAGATAATCTTCGCCAGTATTTGATAGCAGATTTCCACCCACTGCTTTCAATCTCCCTGTGAGTGGATGAGCTCCCTGTCCAAAAAGAGAAAAATGAAAAAGCTTTATGCCAGGCAGCATTCTTAGTTGGCCCGTAAGAGTTTATCCTGAATTTGTTTAATGACTAGCTTTAGCTGCCTGTCTATCTTATTGTTAACAGAGGTTCGTATGATCATAACAGAAGTTAGCAATCATTAATATTTATCTTTCCGTTTTCCATTTAGCTTTCAACAGGTCATTCCTTGGGGTGATTTGGATTCACTAGCAATGCTACAAGGGCAATTGGATGTCGATATCCTTGTAACTGGTCACACCTATCAGTTCAAAGCATACAAGCATGAGGGTGGTGTCGTCATTAACCCTGGCTCCGCCACTGTTGCATATAGTAGTTTCACATACGATGTAAGCCCAAGCTTTGTGTTCATGGACATCGAGCGTTGGGATATATTTGTATGAACTGATTGACAAAATTGATTTTAAGAAGACAGCCACCAGTGGCTCAGCACATTAACCTAATACTTTCATAATGCTTTCAATGATAGGACATTTTCATGGTCTACCTACCTATGAGAAGATCGTTATATATTTGAACTGATCGTATTTCATATCTTACAATCTAATATGATTACAAGTAATATCATTGTAAGCAATGTGATTACAAAAAAGATAATATTATAGTATTTGGTATATAAACAAAGTAATAATTAAAATGTAAAAAAGATAATATTATAACGTTTGATTTATAAATATTTTATTGAGAACGTAATATCAATTTTTAAGATTACTTTTATGTATTACAATATAAGTTTAATATATAGATATATTTTTTTATTAATTTTTATATAATATCATCTCTTAAATATATTTTTAATATTATATTTTTATTTTTATTTTTCATTATAATCTTATGTATTTCATTTTCATTTCTTAGTATAATTTCTTATATTATATATATTATTTTAATTCATTTTTTTAAAAATAAAATATAAATTTTATTGATAGTCAACATCTACTATCCAACAAATAATAATAAAGAGATATTTCTCAAAACCTATATGAAAAACACAAATTATAACTTGACAAAATGTTTTTAGCAAAAAAAAAAGTTGAAGGCTAAAAATAATTTTAAAAATATTATAAAGCGTAATGCATTCTGATTGTATTAGTTTTAAATTATATTTACATTACATTCATTTATTGTAATGTCATTACTTTTCAATATTACATGATAATGATTTGTTATAAAACAAACACTTTAATATAATTTCCTTAGAGACCCACTATCAAATGCTAATCTTGATTGAGAAGCTTAATTTCTTTTAAACTCTCATCAGCTAAACATGTTTAAAAAATATAATTTGAGGGGAAGTGAATAATATATAAGCGTTAATATAATTTTCTGCTCCTATATTAACAAGTCCTATTACAAATAGGATTTCACCCTTACGCAACAACCGCCATTGCCTATTAATATTAATTCGACTGAGATTTCCAGTTCCAATTGCGATTGTCTTTGAAACCTTTTCCCCTCAAATTTTTTCTCTAATGGCTTCAGCTACTTACGACCTTGATGATCTAGATATCCTCGTTTACCAACCTCGGATCGAATCAGAACCCCATTACCCCACTCCCCGTTTCGTCCAAGTTGAAGTAACCATCATCCTTGAACTCAAACTCAGGTGCCATTATTGCTTAACCGACCAATTCATTGATCTCGACAACGCAGACCCTATAGTCTTCCAAGAAAATATTCGTTTTCATCTCCATGTTTTGAAAAACAAATTCCGGGCTTACCAGATTCTTGCTCCCATGCTAAGCAGACTCGGAGTCGACCCCGGCTCTCCTCTATTCGACACTGTCATCGAGGCAATCATCCGACATGGACGTAGAATGGGAACCTGGGAGTCCAACAAGGGACGTAAAGTCTTGCCTTTGCATGCAAAGGTATGGGGAACATTTGTGGAACATGTAAACTACGAGGAAGAAGAGGTTTTGGTCGAAACAGCGCTGGAAGAATCGGCATCGGAGTTGGAAACAAGCAACTACAACATGGTTCCAGCGAAGGAATCCTCGATCAAGGAGATGTTGAAGAGGTTTCGAGTCGAAGGTGGAGCCTATAATCGAAAAGGCGGAGAAAATGATGTCAAGAGAAGGCGTATGGAAGGTGAAAACTGTGTGATATGTTTGGAGGAACTCCAGGTTGGTTCGTATGCTACTCGGATACCTTGTTCTCATGCTTTTCATGGTGACT